CAATAGACCTCGTTGCGAAGCATCGATTACTCTAAGATAGGATAGGCTCCAAGCTGTTAAGGATTAGTGAGGCGTTGCAGCATGATTGTGAGGTCTGTTTGTGTTACCCCACAAACAAACGGTCAGCAACCGGATCTACATCATTGACTCTGACAGAACTGGGACAAATGAGGCACCGAAGGCAACCATCTGTGTTAATTAAGCCTTCCCATAATGAATTTGAACACCACCTTGCAGGACAAAAGAGTTCAAAACAAAACCTAGGACTCAGCAAAGCTAGCCAGAAAACCCCTGTGTCCCAGAGTCCCCCAGTTTTGTCTTGACCTGTCTATGCACAGCCGCTCTAAACTCCTCGTCTATGGATTACAAAGAGTGGATTCGAACCCCTGCATGGGCGCTGCGCACAGAGTACGGCCAAGACTGAAAGAAGCAACGCTTTCCCATTCTTTCTAAGGCGACTGAAAGAGCCAAAGCACCAAACCTTCCCCACACTCCCCAGGAAGAACCCTTGGATGCAGAACGTGTCATGACAAGGTGCAACCTGCAAAAAGTGCAACAAATACCCTCCGCAAGCACGAGGAAGAAGCCACAGTCAACACGGAACAAGCTCGAGACAGGGTTTCAAGCGACTCGACCAAAAGCAAGCCAAGGATTCTTTCAAAGGACAAACACAATGACCAACATATCGTGAGTCCTCAGCTCCATCTTGTCGAAGCTTTGCCTCACACAGAAGCTGCATGCATTCCACCTGCCAGGGGAAAAAGGTTGGATGAGCTTCTGCTTTGGTCTTTCAACACGCTTATGTGTTTTTATCCGTGTAGTTCCTGTTTTACACACCTGCTTCACCCACCTGTGTCTGCATGGTGTCTTGAATAAGATTGTCTCGTGCATCCCCTTTCTATTTTGCAGCACAACTCGTGTTTGGCCATGCCTTCTCCTTCGTGGCACTGTGCTCTTGCAGCAGCCTTAACTTATTAAGGCACCATGCGACATGAGCCTTTCAAGGACGTACAGTGCATGTGAAGTGAATAGCAATGGCCTCCCACCTAATAGCGATGGCTTCCAACCTAAACTATCATAAATGGCCCATTCTGAAAGGCGCTTTCAAGCACCGTTCAATGATCCTTCTCGCGATCCATTCATTGACAGGCCAGTCAAATGCAATCCAAGTTTCGTCCAAGCATCTTCACCTATGGCCACGGCCTAAGAAAAAGACCAACATCTGATTTCCCACTTTGTTCTTGTGCTTTTGAGAGTCTTTCTGTCATGTAGATTCCTCTGGTGAGTCTTTCTGTCATGTCTCATCCACCGGCCTTCTCTGCATCTCCAGTGTTCAGCCTTCCACGGCCCAGCTTCAGCATCAATGCTGCCTGTCGTGTGGTCTCGCTCATCTCCTGGGAGTTGGTAGCAGGAAAAACAACACAGGAGGTTCTTCAAAGCGACGCATCCTTCCAAGCTCCTCCCACCGCCTTTAGGGCAGCATGGGGAGCTTGCATGAAGAAGTGTGAGCTATCCAATAGCTAGTAGCACGCCTAGTAGTTTGTTTAGCATGTTCCCTTACTTAATGAAGTAGGCGCCTACTTAATTCAGTAAGGCAAAACAAATTGCACGCCTCCCCGACCCCCTGTGCCTAGCACCCTGCCCGCACCTTGCATAAACGAATGCCATCTTTGCTAGCAGAGACAGCTTCCTGCAAGTTGTCGCTCTTCAAATGCACCTCTGTCTCGCGCTGGCGCTCGTCTAGCACAAAGCAAACATGCCAACACCCTCAGTCACGTCACATGATGTCCATGTGTTTCTGACTGCACGTCATTGCCTCCACGAGGATCTCGATGATGTCGATCTGCGCAGATCTGTTTCCAAGTTCACCTGAGAACACACACACAAATACATACAGCCATACAGCTGAGAAGGCGCCCTTCGCACCAAGTCATCACAAACACACACAGCCTACTCAAAACAAGCATGAGGAGAGAAAAGGGGGTAAGGTGGACGAAAGCCAGCGAGTTGACGGCAACCATGCACCAGCCATGTTACAGTCAACTACTGCCTGTGCTATGCGGTGCTGAAATGTAACCATCCTGGCGCATTAGGTACACAATTTAGGGAATCGGGTCATGGTTCTGCTGGAAAATGATACACAGCACACTTCAAGGTCAATGTTTAGAACCAGAAAAAGGATAGCCACAAAAGGACAGCTCCTAGTAGCTTCTTGCTAGTAGCTTCTTGTTCCTAGTAGTAATGCCAGGAGCTACTACTAGCGTCCTTGCTCCTAGTAGCGATGCCCTTTGTTGCTGGTAGCGATGCCCTTGCTCCTAGTAGCTTCTTGTTACTAATAACACCTAGGTAAAAGTCCGTTCGATTGAACACGAAAACATCCAAGGACTCAAGGACCCCCTAGGAACTTTACGCCAGACTGCTACGCTGTGCTACGCAACTGGGGATCCCCCGAAGACTTTCTTTACTGGTCAGTGCGGTGAGTGCCTAACGAATGCCAGCTTTCGGGATCCACCTGGGCATGAATAGCAGGATTATTATGGAATGTCATAAAATATGTAAATATGTCATAAATAATTCATAAAACATATATATAATATATATATATTATATATATATAATATATATATATATATATATTCATACATAGAAAGTTCATATATCATCATGAACATGTTGACTTCTGCCAGTGTTGACCTGCACATCGGCCCCAGCTACCCCAGCTCCGAGGCGCGGAAGCGTTGGAGGGCTTCGCTGGCAATCAGTCGAGCCTCTCGAACTTCTGCGAGGTGCAGCAGGAGCTGAAGCAGCAAACGCAAAGCGTTGAGCTCCTCGAACGGCTGCATTGAGCTTTCGGCTGCAGCACTGCATCACCACTGCATCAGCAGGCAGCATTGAGCTCGTTTCGATAGACATGTCAGACACTCTTCATCCTTTGCTTTTACAGAAGGGAAAGAAAGCAAAGGACCCTAACAAGTTGCTCGACATGCATCATTTAGAATCATCTCTGACGACCCATGCAGTGACAAAATTTGTAACGACCATCTGGCTACCTGATATACCAACAGGCTGACTTGGCTTTCTCAAGCCTGGATGGTGGTGCCTGAACTTTAGTTAAATCCAATCATCCTTCGACATGTTTTGATTGACATCGCCAACTCACATTGTAGCAACAAAGTTGTTGGAGTTGGCTAATGTTGGAGGCAAACCACGACCATAGGTTGACCATGCAGGGCAGGACCTTGATTGCGCGACTGTGGCCCCTTCCAGCTAGCTAAAATGATTTGTCAAAAAAAACAAATCAACACATCTTTACAGGCTAGGTGCTTGTGGATGGAGCATTTCAATTTTGTGTTCCAACATCGTTCAATCAAACTTGTACAGCTACAAAATTTGCATGCACAGCGCCCCCACCAAGGATTCCTGGGGTGAGTCCATTTCGCGATAGATTTCGACGGCGTCCTGTCAGGATGCGAAACTCTTCGGTGAAAGCAAGCTTCGAGACATACACTGGGAGCTAAGAAGCTACTCGTGGCTCCCGGCATTACTACTAGTTTCAAGAAGCTACGCTACTAGGAACAAAGGGCATCGCTACGAACGGAGCAAGAAGAACAAGTCAGCGACATGAAGCACAGTGGAAGGGAAGCGAAGAACAAGCGTCCTGCGCATCTGAAATGGCTCTGGAGAAATCACGGAGCCTCACATTCCACTCCTGAGAAAAAGGGCATCGCTACGAAGCAAAGAAAGCATACCAAAGATCAAGAAAACATACAAAGGCTTCCCTGCGAATCGACATTAGCTAAGGCAAGAACTGACATTTTGCACAGGATAAAGGCTTCCATAGATCTGTCCTGATGTTTCCACAACCAAACATCGCACCGTAGCATCTGCAACATGACCAAACTTACATTCAAAAGTCATCAGCAAACGGCCAAATATGCATCTCCAAAGCCAACCAAATTTGAAATTAGATCGGCAGTCATAAGTTAAGTTTCCCTAAACATCTAGGAACGAAATGATTCTGGAAGAAGCGTGAGCCATCCTGCGTCCAGTAGCTAGTAGCTTAAGTAAGGTAGAAACTTACTTGTGAGCTAACCTAGCTGACCTACCTAACCCAACCTACCTCACCCGCTACATAGCCTACCCGTCCTGAACTTCCAGGCACAAATCCAGCGCTTCTTCGGCCGCATTAAGGGCATCATCTGGAGAAACCAGCAAGCCTTCGCCGTCGATCGTGGCCGTAAGGCACATGGCCTATGCACAAGGCGGACTGGTTGAGACTGAGTCGCTTTGCAAGTTCATTTCAGCAAAAAATCAAACTTCATGAAATGGTCCCGCCTCGAGTCTCTTGTCTTTCAGCTCTATTGCCAATTCCCGAGCCTGACTTAAGGAAACACATACTCTCAGCACATAAAGACAACAAATCAAAGGTTTATCAAAGTCAGGGCCCTGAAATCGACACAGAGTCATGCTTGAATCGCTGAGTAAAGTGATGAGCAAGCTTTTTCTTGACCAGTTCCACGTTTGAGCACCTGCCATAACAAGTTTATGGACACTACTAATTACTACTAATAGCTTCTTGTTACTACTAGTAAGGGACTTGTTACTAGAAGCGATGCACTTGTTACTAGAAGCTTCTTGTTACTAGTTCCGGTTGATCGATGTTTGAACTGACGTGTTCCAAGTGCGGCAGGCGTGAGTAGTGAACCGATGTTTTGGTGCTCTCTTCTAGCATCTCATCGGGACTCAAGGCACCAACGTGTGAAAGCAGGCACCAAGGGTTAACAAAAGAGTATGGTGCGTTAACAAACATATCTAAAGAGCATGGCGCTGGATGATTCGAACCACACCAACGTGTTTGCGCTGTCCACCAGCGTCGTGTCTTCCTTCCGCTCCTAGTCACTTCCCCCCCTTGGACAAAATGATCCAGGAAGGCTTTGGGGCTGTTGTACCTGGTGTGTTTTGAGGTCGGTTCCGATGGGTCCCTTTTGCTTGGGATTGACCTGGGGGGGTCTGCTGTTGGCTGAAGGCTGTTGCTGCCTAGAATGAAAACAAAGTGCTCTCTGCAAGGGTGTGCATAACTTATGGACAATACAATAAATAACAAAAGCATTTCTATAGTAAGGAAGAGACACAACTTTTCACACAGGCATGCCACATGACATGTTGTCCTTAATGACGATATGTTGTGGCAGCAATAACAAGTGACAACTTCCAACGCACAGCGAAGGATTCAAACAGATTGAGCTTTCAGATATGGTCTTAGCATGTGTTTATTTGGGGAATGCATCTTTTATTGTTTCGTTTTTGGTTTTGGTGAATAAGGTCATTCTGAGAGTCCACCAATGAATCTAGGCTACGAATCAGAGGGACTACAAATCAACCCTGGCGCATGACGCACAATTCAATATATCAAGACCGTGTTTTCCTGTTTTTCTTTCGACCACTCCCCCCCTCTTTGGTTGGAGGCCATCGCTACAGGTTAGAGGCCGTCGCTATGTGCGGGGTTGGCCTTTAGAACTTTTGTTTTGTTTCTTTTCGGCTATGCATGCGGTCGCCAGCATCAAGGTTCAAAGAACATGTGTCAGCACTGTTCAAAACGTCCAGCACAGGGTGCGCACAGTAATAACTCCCTCACCCCCCCCCATCTGAAGCGCAAACATTGCTTTTGGTGTTAGTTCATGTAGGCCATTGCTACCAGGGCGGAGGCCATCGCTATTAGGTTGGAGGCCATTGCTAATAGAATTATTAGAAACAGACAAAAAAGAAAAGGACGAAAGGTCTAATATAGTTTGCTAGTAGGTTGTTGCAAAGCACACAGTATGCGCCTCTTTGGCAGTTTGAAGGCCTTCGTCCAGTGCGGCAAGGTCCAACTCACCCCTGGTCCACAAACAATAGAAAGACAAAGTAAAGACAACAAAATTACATTGACATTCTGCCAACCGATACCTTGATTCTCGCTGACACAAAAGTGTTTATAGTGCTAATTGTTGGCTCAAACAAAGCTCTTTGAAGTTCAATCTGAGCGGTTCACATAGCTCAAAGTTTGAACTTGAAGCAACAAGGGGCATATGCATATTTGGATAAATCCATTCAAGAACCGCTCGTTGACAAAATATTGCCTCTCCATTTGAATTGCTGCTGCAGCCAGAAGCGCTTTGACCTTGCTTCATATGTGAAGCTTGCCACGCCAAAAGTTCTAGAACTGTTCAACCCTCCTTGCTGTGCTTTTCAAACAGTCACATATCTAAGATGCTTGGCTTCCATGTACTTGATGCCCTGATCTGCAAAGGCTTTGCGTGCCTCTTGTGCGGCCTCCATTGCCTCCCACCAAATAACTGAAAACATATGAAAATACACACGACAAGATTGGACCAAAGCACTAAATTAGACTGCGTGTCATAGATTAAACGATTGTGAAATCCAGCGCATTTAGAGAAAGCGTTCTTACAAACAAGTAACAACAATCAAACACATGTATTTAAAGATATAGTGAAATAACATCTTCGAAAGTGAGTTCTTATTGTTTGTTGCAAGGGTTGTTAAGTTCAAGACTTGATATTTAAGGCACAGGGGTAAGACATCCTAAGACCTCATAGAAGGGCCCCAAATCTGGATTGGATGTCTGAGTCTAAGGTCCACTTGTTCCTAGTAGCGATTCCCTTTGCTCCTAGTAGCTTCTTGCTACTAGTAGTAAGGCCAGGAGCTACTAGTAGCGTCCTTGCTCCTAGTAGCGATGCCCTTTGTGTTTTATGTGGTTTCGTTTCTTCTATTCCTTGTGTTATTAATATTTATGTCGTGTCTTAAACCTTTACACCTTCTCAGACCTTCTGCTTTTCTTCCGTTTTCTCATTTGTTTGTTTTCTGCTTCTTTCCTTGAGATGTGATTCCACTGCATCGCTTGGTTTCATCTCAAAGCACTTTCCATTTTGTTCAAGTTGTTCGTTCTCGTTCTCGTTCTCGTTCTCGTTCTCGTTCTCGTTCTCGTT